CAGTGTCTCAACATCAACTTGGCTCAGTTTTCCGTCGACAGAAGGATGGTAATGGCCGGCGAATGTTCGAGCGAGACGAGGCGCTCCCGAAACACCCTCACAACCATCTGCTTGACCAGAAGACATCAACTGCCGTTCTTCAGCCCACCTTAACCATGGTTACACGCAGATTGGTAAATATTGCAAGAATAGACGCAGTCATGTGGGCCGATTCTGATGGATGGAGTGGGGGTGTGGCTTATTTGAGGGGGTGAAATGGTCCCGTTGCTGGGCGGATGTTTTTCCCTGCAGTTGACTCTTGATATAATCTTCTGTGTTGACCAATTATGAGAAGATTGCTTTGGAAACCAACTAAAGTGCAGTCTTTTTTGTCAACCGAAGATGGACCAATCGAGGCGGCCATTCTGAGCCTGGCTTGGCCCATGCTCTTCTAAACTCAAATGGTGGCGGTGATCTCGAGAGTGGCACGACTATTTCGACATGTCAAATCTGCGCCAGCCATCCTCACAGCGAGTCGGTTAAAAGCAGCCAGACATTGCGTCTGAGATCGGCTGCATGTTATTCCGTTGACCAGAAAAGTCGACTTCACTCTATTCGATGCCAGCCAAATCCTCTTTGCACTGGTCTACAGAGAAGATGTCATCGAAAATCAACTTGAGGCATCAAGCAAAAGTCCACTCTTCCACAGTCACCCACCCTCATGACCAACAAGACCATTTTCACCCTCATCTTTCGCTTCCACTTCTCAGGACAAGCATGCTTGTTGCGGCTGATTCGGGCACTATTTGCCAATCTGCAGGTAGCTCTAGTCAATAAAATTCACCGGCGATTCTTTTAGAATTGTTGAGCTTACTTACATTTCGAGTGAAAGGGTTGCTTGAAGAGATTCAAAGGTCGGTTCCATCAGAAGACCGAACATCTTTAGAGCAAGGTATCATCATTACAACCAAATTCAAGCAAACGAGTAAATACAATTCTCGGCAAATCTTTTAGAATTGATGAGCTTACTTCCATTTCGTATGAAAGTGTTTGGTGAAGAGATTCGAAGGTCGGCTCCACCAAAAGACGAATGCGGATTCATCTTGACCAGCTGTCGATTGGCTTTACTGGAAGATTCATGCTGACTCTGTTTCCGAGGCAATCTCATTCGATTTCGGTGAAAAGGTGCCAAACTTTCGTCCGTCATATGGCGAATATTATCCGAACGAGGTATCATCGTCACAATAAAATTCAAGTCAAACGAGTCGTTCCCAAAACTTTCATGGCCAAGAACAAACATTTTTTTGCTGTAATAATAACTTTGAGCCAGATATAGAGTATATATACAGCTTTTTAGGGATTTGCCGTTAAGTTTTCTTGACTCGTTAGCTTCAATTTGGCTGTGACGATGTTAGCACCTTTTCACCGGAATCAAATGAGATTGCCTCGGAAACAGCGTCAGCATGAATCTGCCAGTAAAGCCAATCGACAGCTGGTCAATAGGAATCCTCCGTCGTCTTCTGGTGGAACCGACCTTCGAATCTCTTCACGCAACCCTTTCACTCGAAATGGAATTAAGCTCAACCATTATGAAACAAGAGATTCCTCGAAAACCAACTTTTCTTTGCAAAATGAATTAGATTATATCAGCAAAGCTTTGCTTTAGACTTGTGAAACAAGGGTCACGAAGGAGCTTAAATTAAGCCCCAAATTGATTCGCTATATTTTCTTTTCCAGCGCTTTGGAGTACATACGAAGAGTAGCTGGATTTCGATAAAAATATCTCTTTAGATAGTATTGCTGTGAAGACTTTCATTTCATGTGAAAGGGCGTCTGATGATGGGATTTGTCGGCCGATATCACCGGAAAACAACGGCGAATTCCGAATGTTCTGCAGCCGTTTTTGCTTTAATATGACGTCCAGGTTCACACAGTCCACCACACATCCTTCGTTGTTTGAGTTCTTGTTCGTCATTATTGCAAAATCGTCAAACCAATACCAAGCATAGGAGACTATCCGACTCAATTTAATTCATGACTAAAAAGTAAACTTTACAGATATAGATGGAGGTAGAAATATTTGGTTATTCCTCCTTCATATAATTCAAGCACATATTCTTGAGTGTGTATGTGAGTATGTGTGTGTTTGTCTGTGTATGTGTGTGTGAACATCTGTATGCGTATAAGTAGGAGTGCAACATACTAGCTGTTCCTCGGAATATTTACAAAATCTAAACTACCCGTGGCCGTGAA